AGATCCACAGGTTGAAGACTTAACCTTATTTCCAGAGATTTGATCGGTGTCGTGGGCAGTGCTCCCTTGACGAGCATGTAAGCCGCCACTGCGCATTCGTTGCGCCTTGGCTCTGGACAATGCTGTGGTTTAGCACAGGCAACGAGATAATCACTAATAAAGGCAGAAATTGGACAAGGTTTGCGAGCCCATTACTAGCCCCAACTAATATTTTAGCTTGTGGACTTTTAATGTATGAGACTGAGCTGTAACGTTCAAATTTTAATAAAGGGAATAAGTGAAGGAGGCATCTTTTGGGTCCGAAACTCTGATCTCCAGGATCATGAGGTATCTATACAAGGTCTCCTTAGAAATAAATTTGAAAACGGGACAAAATAAACTGGAAATATAATGCTAAGTAGGTACTCAGTTTAGGCGGCCGTGTTGGCTGACTGTTTAGAGGTGCGTACTACCACTCCGTAGGGCCCGAATTCTAAGTCTGCCGCCTAATGGCGTGAGGCAAAAGGGAAAAAGGCCATTCAAGAGTTTATGACTGCATATAGAAAAGTGCGTGAAACAAGGCCCTTAGAAAGATGCGATTCTCTGAAGAGACTGACTGCAGCTTATGTAGACTCGCTGAGGAAACTTGAAGGGAAACACTATGTGGTTGCCTACGTTTTCATGGCCTTAAATCGATACGCGTAGGGGAACGACTCTCGCTCGTCTTGGTCTACAAGTTGAAATACGATGCTAGCCAACTTCCTAAGTAGCCAAACGATGTGGGGTGGCACATTAGGTCTGCCCAAGTCGCAGTGCTAGTAGTATTTCCGTAAAACGATTATGTTTTTTTTTTCTGCTCGCAACTGTGCAATGACTTATCTTGAATCGGCTAAATGGTGTACAAATTCACGCCTCATACTTCAATAGCTCTGAAAGGTGAAATATAAATTAAATTAAATAGAAAAAGGGTAAGTGTAACGTTTATATAATTTCCTTTGTATGGCATATTTTTTTCGTTATATTTCTTTTTTATTTTACCTTTTCACTAAACTTCGCTTCAGCGCGCCAAGTTATTTGTTCTTTGGCATTCAATATGACAATTATATTTAATTTATGTGCCGGCGCGACAGTGGGCATGTCTACATACATATGTAAATATAGTATAAAATATTGCGCAGGCGTTACCGGCATTCGTTTAAGCTATTACTTTAGCGCAGACAATGGCAAGCACTTTGATAGCTTCGAAAAAAAAAATAATACTTTATTTAAAATCTATCAGAATTCGCCCATTTAATGGCATAGTCTTGCTACTTGGCTACTGCCCAATGTGAGCGATAAAATTTAAAACCGTTTTTTTTTTATTGTTTTGAGAATTAACGTTCGACTGTCGTATAATTTCACAATTTTTCAGATGTGGTCCCAACGCCGGGCCATCGACAAATTCTTGCACTCTTGTGCCATATAAATGTTAAAAAAATTATATCTGTCTTCTTTTGTTTTGTTTATGATCCCCAGCGTACATGGAAATTGAAAAAGTTAAAGAAACTGAAATAAGTTAAAACCAAAAAAAAATTACAAAACAATGCAGCAAACTGTTATGCCACAGCTTGTGGCGTGTATAGAATAACAAATTGATTTCTTTGTAAGCAACTCTTTGGGAATCGTGTAAATCGACAATGTGGGGAAGCAATAGAGCCAAAAGCGCTAGGAAGTGATGGAGGCACAAGAGCTGCCGCTATACTATGTAATGCACAGTATGTATTGTGGTGTGGACTGAAGTGAAGTGAAGTGAAGTGAAAGAAGTCAAAGTCCACGCTTTGGGAGCCACACAGCGAATACTGATGGAGTCGCTACATTTGGCATAAATAAACAATTCAATTTGTAAGTTTCAACAAGAAGAAGGTTTGTCGCAATATTTGGCATGGATGTAAAGCGGCGCTCAAAAGAGGAGCTGGCAGTAATGACGAAAGCTATGAACAAACGAAGCCACCAAGACTAACGGGGTGATATGGAAAATCTATTGACTTTGTGGCAAGCAGAGGAATATGGGAAAAAACTGGCGATTAGTAATAAAAATTCAGAAATAGTGGAAAGAAAAGATTGAAAGCAAAAAACAAATGATTTTTATTTAAGAAAATATCACGTGCATAAGCAAAACAAAATTTAGTACAAGAAAAGAAAATTTTGTAATTTGCATCAAATTTTTTTTAATTTCCTCAAGTATTATTCTTAAAATGTCACTGTAGTATAACCTGTTTTAACACCATGCTCGGTTCGCCACGGGGTACCATTCCGTTTGACAGGTACACCATATATCCACCCTTAAATTGTCCCCTACCCTTGCCTGTCCAATTCCTTAACCCATTTAAAGAGTTTTGCCGCCAACCGTGTTACATATGTGGCCGGCGATCGTCTACTCTCCCTACAACCGTCGACAGTGGCCCATAATTCTCGCCCCTTCACATCATCCTCGCGACTTCACATCATCCCGTCGATGGTTCGGCGTCCGCCCGCCGGTTCTTCCACATGCGGAATCAATAATCACCACTGATTTTTGGTTAAAAATTACATTACAGTCCTTTTATTTACACACCTGTTATACTATCGGGTAGGATTATTAACTAGTAATGAAAGCGCAGTTGGTCTAATTCATTCAGAAAAGATAAAATCCCTAAAATCTAAAGCTTAATCGTATTAAAAAAGAAATTCAACCAACAAAGCAGCTTTGTCAGCAAATCTCATTTCATCTCGCCTAATTTGGAGTTATCGACAAAGTCACAAAATCTCTAGAGGCTGAAGGATGGGTTAATTATATCGGGCTAAGAGACATCTTGACTGGTTTCTCATATGCTTACATTAAAAAATGACACACCCATTAATTCCGCCCTTTCTCCGCTTGTGCTAAGAAGCCGCAGAAACAACTTATGTGATCTTACGACAGATAATTATCTGCACAGAGCTATGAGACAAAATTTTCGATTGACTTAAATTCTACGGATAAGATTTTATGATACATAGAGAAAAACTAAATTACGCGACCACTGCTCTGCAAGGCGAAAATACTTCCACTTGGAACTAAATTATTCTAGGTGTCACGCTGATGTGATTGCCCAGCACCAAGTTGGTCTTAAAATTTATCTACCCTTTAAACACAAATTTTGTTCAGAAGAAATGTGTTTAAAGGGCAGATACATTATAAAACCTACTTGAGAAAGCGGCACTAGGCAACTAAGTTTGTTTTTGTGTATTCGAGCGGGTGCTACATCGTTATTCAGAGTGGCAAGTGTCAAATGATTAAGTAAAAAAATTCAAAGATCAGGTAAAGAGTGAAAACTAAATATACATAATAAAAAACTATTCATAGGCAAATAAAATAAGGCAACACAAAAAAAAACCATCAAACCGAAAAAATACAGTAATTTCTCTAAGCTGCCAAAAAATGCAAATTACATTTCTATAATACTATTATTCATTCACCTAAAAGCCTTTGGTAAGCTATAATTTTACAAATTATCTCGACACAAGTCGTTTTTTTAAGGTGTGTGCTGCCAGCACTCATCTATCTTTTCCATCATTGTTCGCACTTACTCTAGCAGCAAATTTATGTAAGCGAAGCTTTAACTTCGACTTTGTTGGCTGTCTGTGGAAATTTAGTCGCGCATTGAAATGCTGAAAATTACAGATTAGAGATTTTCCAAGCGGAAAGTGTGGGCCGTTGTCGGCGTACAAAATTTTTAAAGGAGTGTTAAATTTTGAATTCTTTTTAATATTAGGTGGTTAATAGCGGGTTTTAGTTTAGTGTGTGTGTTAATTTAATGCGGAAGTTATTAGTAGATGGGACTAAGTCATTGCAGGGCTAGATGTGTAGATAGAATATTTGTCGGCGCTAAGTATAATTTTGAAGAATTGTGGACGGCCTTTGGTTTTTGATTTGAACACATTTTATAATTAATAACTTGAAATACATGATGATATATCTTAAGTCAATAAGAAGAAAAAAGAGTGAATAATAGGGTGGTCCAAAGATGCATGTGAAGATGAAAAGTCCCAATTTTAATGCCAAAAAATATAACCCTGTATGTATGCATGTAAGTTAAATATTAAAACCCTGTACAAGTCTAGTCACATGTGCGTTACATAAAATGCATATTTTTTGTACTTTATGTTTAAGACAAGTGTCTCCGAGCTTGCGGCAAAAACCATTTTAACTTTCTGCATTGATTTGCTCTTTCCATAACAACCAAAATCCTTGTTCATGGCGCTGGTTGCAAAATGCCTCCAGCACCAAAATATAATCTCAGCCAATCCTACAGTCTACAGTCTACCGCTTTTCATTATCTTTGTCGTACAGCTTTGCTGGCAAATAAAATTGATTTTTCATTTAAATGTTAAAATACAGCTGCTGTTTCTTATGGTAATTTTTTTTCTTGTTTGGGTGCGTGAGGGGGAACAACCAATATGTCCTTTTGCAGTACTTTTTGCTCTGACAAACAATGCCACTCGATCGATATTGATATGCTGCTGACGTACAAGTTTCAGCTGGCACGCCGATTTGCCTGTAAGCTGCTGTTATTGAAAAATACAATACACACTGACAGGCACTATGTCACGTTAAGGATGTTTTTTGTGTAGTTGTCTCTACTCGGTACTCCACTTTTTGCTGCTTGCTCGTATCCTATTGCCTCACTTTTGGCTTGCTTGCTTGGCGCCAAGTAGCTTACTATGTCCTTTTTTTAAATATTGTGTGTCTGATGCCAGCTGGCGAAGCAAAAGCCACTTACTTCTAATAATGTATATATGTAGTATGTGTGCATATAAATATAGTCTGGTTCCTTTCAGACTTCACCTAACTCAGCTGATTGATAAATGATTTGTCCATTAAAGTATGAGTCTCTTGACCTGGCAGCATTTTCTGAGCCATAAGCCAGCTCATGAAATTAATCATAATTTGCGCTAATATCTAAGTTAACATACGCCATTGAATAAGTTTTAACGTAATTGTTCACAGATTTCGCACTTACCGTAAAGAGACAGCTTGCCACACAGACAGCCGCCCAAGAGCCGACCCAATAACGCAGCACAGTGCGCTCTTTTTCAGGGAAAAACATGGCATGGCATGGCGCACCACAATCGCGTAATTCCTGTAAAAGAAGAAAAAGCTTCGAATTAGAAATCAGAAATTAATGATCAATGAGTTACTTATATATATATATAAAATAACAGTCCTAGTCCTAGTAATAGGACCTATAACTTTAAGTGAGTGTTTCTATTTTTTCAGTTAATAAAATTTGAAAGTGTTCGTCTTAGTCTGGCTTCCGGAGCTACATGGGACCTGTAGAAAACTTGGTTGAGTAAGACAGAACTTGCCAGATGGAAATTACTTACCGGCAGGGCTGGAAAATAATCATTATTTTTTTTAATTTTAACCAAAAAAAATCAACAAGTTGAAATCGTCGTCAAACAATTTTAATTATACTCACGTATTTGTGTTCGTACGTCCTACTGGAGTTTACAATGATTTTTATTTTTCGAGTTTAAACAATAAAGATTAAAATGAATAACTAATACTTGATTTTTATTTTTTTCGATCACAAATATTGATTGTTTTAGGATTTTTCTTTTTTCGCTCAAAGATAAGTATTATTATTGAGTTCTATTTTTCACTTAAGAATAATGAACATTCAAAAAATTTAAAAGGTATACCAACGTGATTTCCGACGTATCCTTTTCAGAGGTAGCGACACCCCCTTATAAAAAGAATAAGTACCAAACTTTTCAGGTCAAAATTTCAGTAGGTTGCGTCTGTATGGCCTTTTTTAATTTAAATAATTTTACTCATAATGATTACCATCCATGTTTGCCGGACTTTTACTCCGAGGTCAAATACACTTTCCAATCCCTGAGCGTTTGTGTCTACAAAAACGATGCAATGAAATTATTTCCCTCCACAGATCCACCGGGGGCCGTTGTTAATGAGTTCCTTAAGAAATGTAAAGATTACTACCAATCCGCTTTGGGGCTGTCCGAGTGGTCGACTGTGGAAAAATAGAAAACTTAGTTTGCCGATGGGGAAACCGGCGCTTTAAAATCAGTCCGAAAATAATTAACTTGCATAAGAATATTCTGATCGTCCCTTTACATTCTCGGCTTATCGATAATGGTGTCCCTTACTTTTCTCTAGCGTTCGACTAGACTGCCGACGGGGGTCCAAACTTTCAAATTTTCTTAAGAAGAATTATCTAAGTCTATTGCTTAAAGTTAGCTAACCAAATAAGTCATTTAATTGACCGAAGAACGAGCGCCCTTCCCTTCTATTGAACCGCCAGGGCAGAGTTAATATTATTGTCCCCTTGTAGGGCAATTGGTAACCGTGTTTTTCGACGCACCTCCCGAAATGAGCTTAGAGTCAGCCCTTAACGTATTGGGAACCGTTTGGAAGCTTCTTCCAACGTTGAAGATTGAATCAAAAAAATTGTGGCTGGGTATTGGAAACAGAAGACTCGGTCGCGGATTTAGAGTCACCTTTGTTCCCAAGAGGTGGTCGTGAAGATGCCTTCGGAGCCGTCGATGTGGAACCTGAAGTTTGAAAATGGGGCTTATTTGCGACATGTATTTCGGATTAATTACAGTTAGATTTCAGGGACCCAGAGCTGATTTATCAAATATCACTGTCAACTGTTTCGTTGACCGCATAATACGGAGACTGATACTGTGTTCTAAGCAGAATAGCACTTACATTGATGAGCTACTGAGAGGACCGTTGAACACCTGCAGATACTGGAGTTCGCTGCTTTTTACAAAAAGTATTATGTGAGGAAGCCATCGTAGATACACCTAGGGTGGTCTTACTTGAACATTATCACGTGCTAACGTATCAGTGTCTGGAGGGCAAGAATATATATAGTTTTCGGCCTTTTCCCTGCCTCCGCTGCTGAATAGCGTTTTCCAATTACCTCACATGTCATTTTGGTAGAAAAAAACTACACTACTTCGGTTTGGTATCCAGCACATGTATGAATCTGTTGCCTGCGGTTGTGGAAGACCTCACAACATAGTACCTCGAGCAGAGTGGGGAGAAGGTAATGGGTACGGTAACCTGCTGACAGCTCTTCGATCCTTTCCAGGAAGTCATGCAGGGCGTCGCCGACAGAGTGAAGTGCAATATCAACGATAGACTGCCTTCACTGCTTTTAAATTGCTTGTATGACCCCTCCTTGGCGTCGGAGGGAGGGAGTTCTATGTATTGATGGTCGAGGTTGGGTCGAGCGGTGACATCACCTTACTAGCCTCCCCAGCGGTAAATTCCATGTCCCAATTTTCGAAAAGATTTTCCGTTCACTTACGGCTTCCTTTCGTTCTAATATAGGTCCGTTTTGTGCAGCGTTGCTCATTGACGGAGTTATCCTTCACGGGCACCTGGTGCTGTTTGCACCCCCCAATCAGCCTCTGCTTTTTTAGAAGATATATCCAGCTGACACAGTCGACAATTAGCGTTGTCCTGTTGTGTTTTCGAGCACACTTTGCAGGAGCTTTTAAGCGTCATTGTTTCTCTACTCCTCTTTCATTCTTTAAATCAAATTTATCTTATCCAAATATAAATTTAAAACATTTTCTACAAATTATGTTTCAGAGCCTATTCTAAGTTCTTTCTTAACTTCTGACTTTTCATGTTGCTTCTATCCCATTCCCTGGGGTCAAATAGTTACCTAAAAGTTCATAAATTACAAAAGTGATTTTTCTCTGACACTTGGAAGCATTTCATACTTGGACGTAAGATATGGCATCAACTGCGTGTAAATCAACTACCAAAGATTGCATTCCCCACAGAAACCAATTTAAGCTACAGGTACCATTGCACATTCTATTTCCGTATACAAATCTTTCGAGCTGTTATGGAATTTAGCTACTTTTACATATTTTAATATGCCATAAAATAGATTTAATATCCAGCAAGTGAGGTGATGTGCCATCTCCAGCAGCACCAGAGGAAGTAAGCCAAATGCAAACGATGACTTGGTAAACTGGGCAGAGGTAAGTGGCAGTGGGAGGAAAAGCGGCTGACAGAAGATGAGCTCATTAAAAATTCAAAATTCATCGACAAGCAACTAGAAAATGGGACGTTGTTGCAGTAAAATACGTTGCTTTAAGCGACCGCCAGGTGAGCTGCGAGAAGGCAGTGGATTAGACCGCCAGCTCCTGAACGTAAGAATGTAAGAATCGTTGCACAACCTACTCCCCTGGAGTGTGATTTAGAATGAAATTAAGCGTGGTTAAATATTAAAGATGGCAGTATGCCCCTAAAGAGCAGTAGGTGGAGTCGAGCTAAACTGAGCAAGCCAACAACAGGCGCAAGATGCTTAGGTAAGACGCCCTAGCCGCAGGCGAACGAAGCAGTAGTAGAGAAGAATAAGGAGAGTAGAAGAAGGTGGGCAAGAGTAAATTATGGCAGCAGCAGTTAAAGGCCCAAAGGCGACATAGCTGAAGCAGCGCAAGCACGCATTTCCCTGAGCTGCACAGCTCAGCGCAGTTCAACAAAGTTAAGGAGCAATTCACGTGATTCGAAGGAAATATGTTTTCCATAAATATATTTAACCGAAGCTGCAGGTACTACCAACCAACTCAACCGAGAGATGGTGAGTGAAATACATATTTTAGGTAAGTTTTGCGTATAGAAGAACTCTGCAATATTTATGTATGTATGTGGTGAGTATATTTTGTGTTGTCTTATCATTAACATCATTTGTGTTTTGCTTTTAACTATTTATTTATATTTCAGGGCGCACTGTTGCATGCAAACTCTTGGGAGACCAAAGGCGAATCGTTTTGTTAGAATCGTCGGGCGCGCGCTCGATATATCAAAGTGCGATTTTTTGCGTGGCATAATTTATTCGCCATTCAACTACAGCGTTCATCTGCCTGCTTATCAAGTGCCTTTGTTGTTGTTCAAGTGAGTGCGAATGTGTGAAGGATGAATGAAATAAAAAGAAAAAAATAATAATAGAAATTGAAGCGCAGTGGCAGCATAAACCGAGTACATAAGTAAGTACAAAAAGCCTAAGCAGTCAAAAGTTGTATGATGCTTAACACAGATATACTTACTTCAAGTCATACGCACGTATACACAGAGCTATCACTGCATGCTTGCCTCTGTTTTGTGGCACGCGGGTGCTTCTTACTGCTTTGCTATTCCCCGGGGGAATCAAGAATGTGGAAACGTGTCCATTGACGGTGTTATACCAAATGAATGAGAATGCACAATGAATGTGGCGTAATGAGTGCGTTGCATGTGGCAAGACAGAATGAAATGCGTGGAGAGGCAGACACAAGCGTTTGATTGAAGTGACTAAGGTAAAAATTGCGCCCGCGCTATGTTGCCAAATTTCGGTTGGCTGTGAAATGTTTGGGATGGTATCGTACTCATATTGGAAGGCATAGCCCCGAGTTTGTGTAGATTTCCTTGAATTGAGGGACTTTTTAATAACCTTCACAAAAGGTCTAAATTCATATGAAGAGGGGAAAATGTTGAAATGTTTAATAAGAAGAAGGATATAATCACTCGTAGAATGAAATATCTACAGAGATACATTTTCTAAATAACATTCGTCTGCCATAAACAAAATTTTAAATGCAAATATTGATATCAATCAAGTCTTTCTTCTCGCTCTTGTTACTTCACGCGGTAAGTATGTAGTACGTATTCTTGAATCAACATTTCCATCATACTTCTAGAACCTATGAACGAAAGGTCTTCCTTATGTCTGCTCAAGGTTTTTAAGTTGGTAGAGAGCTCAGCTTTCTGAGGGGCGCAGACAAACTCAGAGATCGACAAGAGATATGTGAAGCTTCAGTTGTTCACTATGTAAATATCTTGTGAAATATGTCACGAACCTTAATGGTAAGTAGTTAGATTTGCATATCAGTCGTCGAGCGAACTTGGTCCTTTGCTTTAGTTGTGTGCGTTCTCAAATAATTCGCCGTTCGCCGGCATTGCGTTTCAACGGTAAAGCTATGAAAACATCGGTCAAGCTAGTTTGCCTTATTTACAGGGCCTTGAACCTCTTAGATCTATTCATCTAATGCCAAAACATATTCAATCTAATTCTCTTCCAAGCCAGAGACATCTTTTGGGCATTCCAAGAAG